AGAACATGGTGGGTTTTTAGATGGGCACTGGTCTTGCTAGGAAATCATAAAGCAGATTGTAAGGCACTCACTTTGCATTTGCCTTGAGAGACTCACATGGCGTCATGCCATTCATCCGGTTGGATGGTGAGTTTTCTGGTCTGTTGTACAATCCCTTTCCCACAAGGGATGTTGCTCAACGTGACATGGAGCATCTGCATGGTGGCGTTCGTCTGGGGAAGAATGAAGCTCCACCATTTCCTAGGAGACAGCGTCTTCCCTAAGCACTCTCCTTTGTATGCCCAGGCACCAATGGCGCTCTTTTACCCAGCAACCTTTGGGATCGTCGGACAGAAAATGACGACTTTGCAACACAGGTCCCAGGGAGATCCTGAGGATCCGCATGATGAGCATTACCTGCTGGCCACACAGAGCAAGCAAGAGCAGGTGCACAGCAGCTCTGGCGGGAGAGAGACCTTTCCTCACAAAGGAGACTTTACCCAGAGTTAGTGGGTCCTCGGGTTCAATGCAGCTTCCACAGACCGACCTGGTACTGTTTTCAGAACTGCATACGAAATGAAGTCTTGATTCAAAATCTGGCTGAGAAATTTTCTTATTCAGCAGATACTAATCCGTTTTCTGAATTCCATTAATTCAGTGAAGATACTTGCCTTTGGCACGTATTATTTACTTACGTTATCTACTTCTGGATATTTATCTAGCAGTATTTTTGGTAAAGTTTTAATTATTCTGTACTTAATATAGAAAGTCTTAGTGTAGGCATACAGCTGAATTATTTATTGGGGGCGGGGCACAGTAATTTGGTGTCTGCTTACAGACATAAACTATAGTTCTTAACTGCTGATCTGGTATCAGCAGCTCATGATGGAGACCAGGGGTTGAAAACGTGTTCATCTTTGTTCTGTCCTAGAGGAGAGGAAGTAGATTGGATCTGAAAATAAGGATTCCACAACAGCCATTGGCCTGTGAATCCCATTCAAATATTCCAGGGAAAAGTCAGTTTAGTGGGAGAAAGTATGTCTATATTGACATTTCTGTTTTAAACTCCCTTTCTGATGTAAGGTTTTGGAACCGACCCACATGCCCAGAGCCTGCCTTGGCTTGGACAGAGCATCCTAACCTGTGTGCCCAGGCTGCCTGGGCAGGGATATAGGTTGTGTGTGTGTGCTGTGGTGGCTTTTGCCTGTGGTGTTCTGAGGAAATAGAATCCACCTGGAGAGCACCAGCAGGGTCTGTTGTGCTCAGACCATTTACTGTTTTCTCGTTTAACTGACTGACAGTCTGCAAAAGCCACTGCTGACCGAAAGTCTGCATCCAAACCCATCGGATTTGAAGGGGATCTCCGTGGCCAATCCTCGGATCTTCCAGAAAGACTGCATCCCCAGGAGGTGGATTTGGGTTCTTCCCAGGGAGACTGTTTGATGGCCGGCAATGACTCTGAGGAGGCCCTCACTGCACTGATGTCCAGGAAAACTGCCATCTCACTGTTTGAAGGAAAAGCCCTGGGCCTTGACAAGGCCATCCTGCACAGTGTAGACTGTTGCTGTAAGCACGCCCGGGGACCAGTAGACAGAGCTAAGGTGGCGGCAGTTACGTGGATTGTGCAGTGCACCATTTTCTCTCACAGACCGTCAGGCCCACTCCAGCCTTGCCTTGGCGGGGGCTGGGAGTGCAGTAATGTAGTGCAGTTGTGTCCTGGCCCCATAGCACGTACACTGCCATATAGTCTAGTGCTCATGACCAAGACCGTCACACGGACCGTGAAATCACAACTCTGGTCCGTGCGAGCGTTAAACTGTAGCGTCCCAGCTGGGTTTCTGCTTAAGACACGTAATGAGAGTTTGTCCTTCTCTGGAGGAGTTAGGCTTTCTTGAGTCATATGAGAGATGTGAGGGATGATTGGAGGGTTGACATTTAAATGCCGGGGGCGTTCTGGGCTGAGGAAGCTTGTAAAACCAGCATGGTTAGCCGAGGTAAGGCCAGAGGCAGTCTAGGTTCCACACCACACAGGGACCCCCATAGGCCTCCTTGAAAAGTTTGGTTCTAATTCTAGAAGTAGTGGGATGGGAGGGAGGCAGCAGGTCTCCTCTGCAGTGTTGAAGGTGGATTTGCGGGGAGATCCTTGAGGCTGTTAGGTTGTCTAAGTGACAGCTAGGGGCTTGGCCATGTAGGTGAGTAAGTGGTAATGTCACTGTCTTTTCAGCGTCTGATGATACCAAGAAGAAGATGTACAGCTCTATCCTGGTCGTGGGAGGCGGGTTGATGTTCCATAAAGCTCAAGAATTTCTCCAGCACAGAATTCTCAACAAGATGCCACCTTCATTCAGGCGAATTATTGAAAATGTGGATGTGATCACAAGGCCTAAGGTACGGTGTTTCGTGTTGCAGGTTGGACAGTACTCAAATGAAAGCAGTGTTGGTTACATCTAATTGTAATGCATGTCGAAGGTGAAATCTAAGGAGGCAGGCGGTGGCTTGTGACTGGAGTTTTGAGGACTTGGAGAAATGAAAAGATTACTTTTCAGAGGGTCACAAATATGGCAGGAGTTCTGGACTGGGTTTGATTTCTTTTGGTTTGGTGGTTTTGTTCTTTAAGATTGATTTTATGGCTCGCTCTCCTCCTCTCCCCACTCTTCTCTCCTGTCCTTCCTCCCCCCCCTTCTTTCTCCCCTCCTGCCTTTCGCTCCCTCTCTCCCTTCACTCTGGGAACCGGTCACTGCCCCCTTCTCTCCCCTCCTCTCCCCTCCCCTCAATAAAAAAAAAAAAAAGATTGATTTTATGTTATGTGTTTAAGTGTTTTGTCTACATGTATGTCTGCGCTCATGTGTGTTTATGGTGCCTGCAGAGGCCAAAAGAGGAGATCAGATCTGGAAATGAAGTTATAGATAGTTATGATCTGGCATATAGGTGCTGGGAACCGAACCCAGATCCTCTGGAAGGGTGGTTATTAACCCATGAGCCATCTTTCTAGCCCTGATTTGGTTTGAGATACTCAAACTCACTGTGTAGACCTTGAATTCCTGATCCTGCTGCTGCTGCCTCCCAGATGTTGGGGGTTAAAGAGTATGCTGTCATGCCTGGCATTGAGACCGGCTTTCCTGTTCTGGTCCCTGCTCTGCTTGGCTTTTACGGGACAGAAATTGTAGGTGGGTCAGGAGGTTGCTTCTCTCTTGCCTTGACCAGAACTGTTCACTTTTCTCTCTCTGGTCATAGTAAGGAGCTGGTTTTGGTCCATGGGCTGGAGATCTTCAAGGTCCTCTTTTTGGCTTGAACTACTTGGAAAGAAACACAAAGCCAGGAGTTTAGAAATAGGTCCTGTCTGTGTTTGGACCCCTGGCAGTGTTGTGACACGTTTTCTTTGGAGGGAGGGGTTCTTCCTCTGCTGGTACTTCGTGTGCATGTGCCTGCCTGCAGGGCTTCTTTGTGGAGAGTGGCATCCTCAGTATCAAAAACTGAGAAATTCTCATCAGCTGGAGCAGAGATGGGTATGTCCATTACTTCAGTGTTCTGTACTGCTGGTGCTGCTGGGAATTGAACCTTGTACATGTCAGGCAGATGCTCCACAGCTGAGGTACACCAGCCAATTTTCTATTGTTTCACACAGATGTAAAACCTGATTTGTTTGCTATTGACCGAGCAGGGGCCCCCAACCCCTCCTGCAGAAAATGGTATCTATGTGTTACTGCCTTTGCCGAAATGGCTTTTTCTTCTGTCCAGGACATGGATCCCCGGCTGATCGCATGGAAAGGAGGGGCAGTACTGGCGTGCCTGGACACCACTCAGGAACTGTGGATTTACCAGCGAGAGTGGCAGCGCTTTGGTGTCCGGATGTTACGGGAGCGGGCTGCTTTTGTGTGGTGAAGACCACAACCAAGTCTCTGGGCAGAATACTGAAAGAATATATGTCTTTTAATTTATTGACTTTGAAGCTTAATTTTCCTAGAATTAAATGAATTCAACTTTATGTTAAAGTATGACACTGATTTGAAATTATAATTAAGAACAAATATGAACTTACTCTCTTAACCTTTCTTCAAGGTTTCATACTGCCACCCCACCCCACCCCACCCCACGCCCTCCCTGATGGGAAACCTTGCTGTCCAGCGGTCTATCCTGGTGCAGCCACATGGGGTGCTGTGGACTGCAGGAACTAGCTGTGGTGGTTGCCCTTTTCTCTAGCAGTAGTTAGGATCTAAAGCAGTCTGTTTGCGGTCTCCTCTTGCTCTCTCTGTTTCACCATGTGTGTGTGTGTGTGTGGGGGGGGGGGGGGGCGGGGTTCTCCTCTTGCTCTGTCTTTGTTTCACCGTGTGTGTGTGTGTGTGTGTGTGTGTGTGTGTGTGTGTGTGTGTGTTTGTGTTTGATTACAAAGTTTTCTGATTTTCTTTTTAAAAAAAAAACAAAGTTTGGGGTTGGGAATTTAGCTCAGTGGTAGAGCGATTGCCTAGCAAGCACAAGGCCCTGGGTTCGATCCTCACCTCGAAAAGAAAAAAAAAACAAAGTTTGATTTACAAAGTACCCATTCAGAACTGGGTTTCTGAGGCAGTGATTAGGATTTAAAGGCTGGGCTGGCTCGTTTTGTTACTGTTTCCTCTAGGGTAGGTTCAGGGAAAGAAACAACACAGTACCTGAAAAGGAAATCTTGTTCCCTTCCTAAAGCTAAACAGACAGGATTTAAGAATAATTTAGAACACCTTTAATCCCAGCACTTGGGAGGCAGAGGCAGGCCGATCTCCATGAGTTCAAAGCCAGCCTGGTCTACAGTGCAAGTTTAGGATAACCAGGGCTCCACAAAGGACCACCCACCAAAGGAATCATGTAGAGTTGTTAGCCTGTATTGTGAGCGGGGAGCAGGTGGCTGCTGTAAGTCACGACTAACTTCATCTTTAAGCCTCTAGTTTACCTTTTCCTGAAGAACCACGTAAAGGCTTTTGGAGTTCACTGTGATCAGCTGGCTTCAATCTGTGAACATTCTGGAGAAAAGTTGAACTTAACAGAGCCAGCCCTTCTACTGGTAGTGTGGGCCCTTAGGAAGCCTCTGAGCTGCAGCAAGGGAAAGAAAGGACAAGGTATAGACAAGGGCAGGGAACCTGGGGCTATGACACAGGAAGGCAGGGCAGGTGGAGCAAAATTGCTTAAGCCTGCAGTTATATATCTGCTCCTCCCAGCTCTATCGCCAGAATTGGCTTGGGGAGGATTGAGAGATTGATAGAGACAGATAAGACCTGGAGAGAGGCGTAGAATGTAGAAGTCTAAGATGGAGGAATTGCTGGGACTATAGGAGTCACCAGGTAAAGCTCAGTGGGTAGGACCAAGAGGGGTTCTCTGATGTAGCGAGGGTTAACCTGGTAATACCATTTGGATATATACTTTGAAAATACATAGTTTGAAAATTATCTGTTCTTTTACATTTTTGACCTAACATAGAATGTGATTTTATGTTTCTGGGCTGTTGGAACAGAGTTTACAGTCAGCTCCATGCTTTCAGAAGCATGATGTATCTGTGGTAATCATTCTCCACATGAGCATCTCTTACAGTGGTAGATGTTGATTCAGAGGAAGGTGGTTTCTGGTCCAAGTTGTGACAGAAGCTATATACATCTTCAGCACGTTTGTACAGCATCTGGCAGCTGTCTTACCAAGTAACAGCCTTGCCACACCAGGCACAGCCTCAGCCATCGTGCTCACGGAGCTGGATGCGGGGAGCTTGCACTTCATGCATCTTTGGGTGTGGGGCGTTTACCCAACCACCCCCACAATTCCCCAGAGTTTTCTTGAGTGCGAGCAGCAGGAAATATTAGATAGAAGGATTTATTGCGGAGAATCTTGCGGAGATAAACAGATAGAAAATAAAGGATAGCCTCGAGAGGGCCTGGAACCTATTCCAACAGGCCCCGACTGTCTCTGCCCCAGGGTTTTTATAGAGACGCCAAGGGGTGGAGCAAAAGACCTCCTTCCCCAGCACAGCCAAGTGCAGACCATCTCAGACACCTGCACTCAGGCCCGTGGTCCTAATCATCCTCTATGTGGACCTGCTGGGTAAAGCCACATTTGGGGTTTTATTTATTCATAAGACATATTAGAGTGCATGATGTGGCCTTTTACATTGGCTCTTTTTTTGCTTGCTCTTTACATTGATGCAGATTGAACCCAGGGCCTTGTACATCATACACAAATTCTCTGCCACTGAGCCACACCCCAAAACAAGACCTTTGAGGCTAATGTGCAGTTACAAACTTTCCCTTTATCCTGGAACTCACAGCTCCGCCCGCGTCCCTCCAGAGCACTGTTATTTAAAATGTATACCACAGGGGCTTGGGAGACAGCTCAGTGTTTAAGAGCACTCAATGCTCTCCCCGAGGACCCTGAGTTCAGTTCCCAGCACATGTCAGGCAGCTCACAACCATCTGTAACTCCAGCTCTAGGGGATCTGATGCCTTTGACCTCTTCTGAGTGGATACTTATACTCTATGTACATACCCACATGCAGACACACACACCTACGCATAATTAAAAATATATTTTTTAAAGTGTTTGCCACCACACCTGATCAATTACAAATCTGTTTTTGTTTTTAAACAAGGTTTCTCAATTATGTAGCTCTGGCTGTTCTGGAACTATGTAGACCAGACTGACTTCAAACTCAGAGATTTCTCTGCCTGGGATTAAAGGCATATGCCACCATGCCCAGCCTCTAGTTACAAACATTTAACAGTCAACTACCTGAACCTGGATCACGTTACAAAACAGATGATGCTGTATGAAGACTTACGACAAATGCATATGCTAATGTAGATAATTTCTGTGGTTTTTACATTAAGAAAAAGCTGCTTCAACAAGTCAAGAGCTAGAAGACTCAAGATGTTACAGATCTGTGTGCTATTACTGCTTGTACTGGTTTTTTGGTGTTTTTTAAAAAATAAGATTTATTTACATTAGGGGGTGTGGAGAGAGAGCTCAGTAGGGAAGAGCATTTGTTCTTGTAGAAGATGCTGGTTTGATTCCCAGCATCCACACGGTGGTTCACTCCTATCCATAACTGCAGTTCCAAGGTATCCACCCCCGTCTTCTGACCTCAGGCACCAGGCATGCACATGGTGCACAGACATAATGTAAGCAAAACACTGATGTGTGTGTGCAATAATTTTTTTTAATGTATATAGAGTGCCTTTAGAAGCCAGAAAGCAGTATCAGATCCCTCTGGAACTGGAGTTAAGATGGCTGTGAACTGCCATGTGGGTCCTGGGAACTGAACCCAGGTCCTCTGGAAGAGCAGTCAATGCTCTAAACCTCTGAGCCATCTCTCCAGCCCTTGGTTGTTTTTTAAAGTAATCGATTATAAAAAGATATATTACATGAAGAGAGCTAATTTCAGTGAATTAGTTTTGACTTGAACAGGAAGCATGTAATAACCATGAACTCTGGGAACTAGAACAGTGGATGGGTAATTGGGCAAAAGACTGTTTGGGACAGTCTTGCTATGTATCTCTGGCTGGCCTTGAACTCAGGAGTCCTCCTGCCTCTGCCACCTGAGTGCTGGGATTAAAGGTATGTGTTACCATGTCTGGCTGGTGAAGGGTTTTTATATTTACTGAAAAGTCACCTGTGAGGGGCTGAGATGCATTTGAGGGGCAGAGCATTTGTGTAGCCGTACAATACCCTAGGTTCATTTCCTAGCACTTGCACAATAAAAATAAAGGTTGCCTGTCCAGAAGTTTGGCAAGGGAAGGTGCTATACAGAGAGCACACAGTACAGTGGGTCATACAGAACACATACACTGGGTCATTGGTCAGGCAAGATGTGTCCAGCTTGTATGTGTAACAGGCTTTTCCTCTTAGGGAGCTACTGGATTAGTGAGTGCTTCTCAAATGGATTATTCATTAACACATTAAAATGTTACAGGGCTAAACAGAGCATGAGCAGTGCAAGACGGGACATCTGACTGCGAAATGCCTTGTTATTTCATGTTTGCCATGAGAATCGTTATTGGGCTTTGGGTAGAAATGTGATTGAGCTTTGGGAATTTATCTTCCATTCATTAATGTCTCTAACTGTATTATATGCATAAAACCTGCTAGTGACTAGCCTCAAGTTCTGACTCTGCAAACTCCATTTCTAAAGCAAGTTTTGTGATACAGTACTCCCTCCATGCAGCCTGTAGAGGAAGCTTCAGGGTCCTCACAAAGCTTTTTGTCACTGGAATTGGTAAGGGTAGGAGGGCTTCAGGGTCTCCCTTCTCCCGGACGGACTACAACAGGGAACAGCTGCCATGGCAGGCCCGTGACCGTTTCTTCATTGACATGTTCCGTGCAGCTCTGAGCAGTTCTGTGTGGAAAGCCGCGGCGTCCTTCATGAGCCGATACTGGGGGCAGGCACTCAGAGCAGTATAGTCGCCCTTGATGTCCGCCCCGCCGAGGTAGACCACCAGGTATTTGTGCAGATGAGCCTGGGTGCTGAAATCGCTACAGAAAAGGTTAAAGGCGAGGGGGAAGAGGTCCTGAGAACTCTCCCTGGCTCCGTCCTTGTCCTGGCGGCAGGCACTGTCACAGAGACTGTGGGCATCACTGGAAAGAAGGAAGACCACTTTATCTGCCGCTTGCTTCTGGGTGGTAAGCCACTGCACCGGACCCATCTGGGCTATTTTCTTTGTCTGCCATTTTTCGAGGATGACCTCACTTCTGCAGTGGTTCTGAAGGAAGTCGGTGAAGCGGCAGACGGTATGAGGGAAGCATATCTCCGATGGGTAAACCACCAGGACTTTAATGAGGGGCAGCAGCATGTTGGTAGTAGGAAAGGAAGTCGAGCTCCTTTCTGTGGGGAGGAATTTTGTTAACTGAGTAGCAAATAGCAGGCCTTTCCAGTAGTCTAAACCATCCCCAATAAATGATCCCCACCAGAGAACGTCAGCCAGGATCAGGATTTGTTCCTGCCAGAGGAATAACAGCCCTGATAGTTCCTTCAAATACCTGAAACACTGATGCTTGAATCTTAACAGCATTTTAAAAGATGGCTTTCTAAGCCTCCATTGGTAAATCAGACTTCATAGTCAAGCTCTGTATTTTCAGATAAACTCACAGCAGCTGTTTAGGCTTGGGGGCACCGGGTTTGAAGCAAGCCGTTAAAACTTCTGTACTTTGCCAGAGAGGTAACCTCTACATGTCATATCAGGAGTTGGGTCAGCTCTGTACTATTTTCTACCTGCAGGTGGTAGAGTTTCTCCATATTGCTGTAAAGTTAAGCCCCACACTGTGCTACGAAACAAGCTAACACAGCGCCAACAGCATCCTGTAAATGCAGGTATTCCTGAGATGAAAGTTCATGTGGCTTTCTTAGCTTAAAGTATGGAGCTAATCTTCTGCCATGACATAGAAACAACTCACAGGGTACACTAAGAGGTCCTTTTTGGTTTTTTGAGATAGGTTCTCACATAGTTCAAGCTGGCCTTGAACAGTAATTAATTGAGGATGTCCTTGAACTCCTGATCCCCCTTCCTCTTCCTCCCAAGGGCTAAGAGTGCAGGTTTATGCTACCACATCTAGCTCTATTTCCTTTTCAGACAGGGAGGGATCTCAGAGTATCTTCAGAGTGACCACCCTTACCTTGCCTCCAGGTTAGGTAGATCGCAACTGCCAGGACCCATGTAGCTACCAGCAGCACCAGGATGAGGGGCAGCCAGCTTCCCAGAATGCTTCTATCTGCAGGAAACAGCTCAGTCACCTTAGCAAGCAAAGCTACATTTGTCCTCTACTTGTAAACATTTTTTTTTACTCTCCTTGGTGGAAGTTTAGACCTTTTCAAACCAAGGGCTAGAAGATCTTTAGGGGGTGTGCTGATCAAGGATCCAGGTCTCTATCAAAAAAATCTATTACTGTGGGCTGGAGAGATAGCTTGGCCATTAAAGGCTAGGCTCACAACCAATAAATAAAAATATTACTGTGATGTGTGTGAATGCAGGCACACATGTGCCACAGTGTGTGTGGGGGGTGGGTCAGAGGACATCATTAGGGCATTTGTTCTCTACATCCCCCATGGGTTCTAGGGATCAAACCCAGGTTGCAAATGATTCTCCCCATTGAGTGATCTCTCCTGCCCTCTCCCTAGATTCTCAACAGGGAATTAAGGGACGTTCTCCAAACTCAGGTCTCTATTCCTCAAGCACAGAAGCATTTTCAGTGGTAACCAGAGTTTGGTGGTGGTTTTGTGTTGGAAGAATCTTCGTTCCTCAGGATGAACTTCCATACAGATGCACACACAGCAGTGTGCCCACATAGACGTCAAGCTATCTAAAGCTGGTCTGGCTGTTTTCATCTTTTGGCCCCACCCATGGGCTAGTTTTAGAACGTTTTATTTGTCCATTGTTAGCAAAAAGAACTGACGCATCTCTAAATCCAGAGACATTTTCCAGAACATACTCTCAGGCACCAGGGAGGCGTCTTTGGGTGCCAGTATTCCTGATTTGTTAACCAAATAAGATTCAGAGAGAGCTGGAATACCTTGAAATGCACACTTCCTCATGGACTCACAGTCCTTTATACTCAGTAACTCTTTCCACAGCCTTGTGGCACTTTAAACAACCATTTTGCGCTCTTTTTACCCCTTCTGTACATCCTGCTTTCGAAAAGATAGTGTCTTCATAAATAAAGACTTTGTTCGTACTTGGTTATGAGATCTCTGGGGTAGCACAGACATTGTTCTGTCACACCAGTTCAGGGTACACAGGCAGGGACCTCTTAATGCTCCCCATGGACACAGTATAACCTGTTACATCTCAAAGGGGCCCTGTGTGTCCTGAGCCTCTCTGCTCATCCTGTGGTAATGATTGGTACTCACTGTTAGCTGGAGCGGGGAAGGGAGCACTTGTCTCTGAACAAGGCACAACTATTCCTTGGCGTCGGATGCAGTCAGGGGCACAGGTGTGGAAATACGGAGTCAGCTGAGAAAAGGGAGGCACACGGCAGTGTTCACACTTCCAACACAAACTTTTTTTTTTTTTTAATCCTTTCACCTCTTGGCATGGTCAACATTTTTCCCCTTGTTTACACCCAATAGCACACAAACCCAGTCTGGTGACTCCAAACCCAAATGCCTACAATGCCCTTGACCTTTGTGCTTGTTACTGACATAGTGTTTTCCTTATCTAAAAGGGTGGCTACATCCTAATAAACATACAAATCTATCCCCAGGACAAGAGTAGGTGAGTTCCCTGGCACTAGGAAAGTCCATGACTTCCTGAAATCTGCAGTTGCAGTGTGCCAGGGTCTGCTTTCTGGGCCATCCTGAGCACTTCATGTTCCAGGGAGTGGAGGACGGCACTTGGGTGTGGTTGCGCTGCACTGTGACCCTCCATGTCGTAAACTACAGGGACCCGACAGTACCTACTCTTCCAACTTCCTCTTTCCACCTGGGCCAACTGAGGCTCCCAGAAGACGAACAGTTGTTACTCTCCTAAGTTCAGACACCGACCTGGACTCCAGCCTTCCAGCTTCAAACCTTTGCGGCTTCACTTTTCAATTAAAACTGAGGACTTGGGGAAATAAAATGACTGTCCGATCTCAGACTTACTCTGAAGATCTTTAATATAAAATAGAAATAAAAGCGCTTTGGAAAGTCAACAGCTGCTGATCCAAACAAAAGGCACCACAACTATAGAGTCAGCTGTTTTATCTCACCGCTATAGACTAATAAGGAGTCCCTGGCTACCCGGCTTGATGGGGACTACTGGGGAGAGACTTGCCATCCTTAAAATGCATTCAGAGGGTAGTATGTGTCAGTTGTTGAACACGTACCTAGAATTCAAGAGGTCCTAGGTCCGGTCCCTAGCTTCCCACCAACACGTGCACATACAGAAAGCATCCATGGTGGAGGACACAGTTCTCCGGGGACCCTCCCTTCCCCCCAGCCTCACCTGCACCACAGCACCTTCAGGCCCACTGTCCACCAGAATGGCTACAGACGTCCGCGTCAGTTTATTCTGGTGCAGATAAGTGAAACACAGTCAGGCACTAAAAATCCCGAGTGAGTACATAGCCCGCCAGTGACGAAGCCACTGCTCCTAACTGACTTCTGATGCATCGGACTATGCGAATAAGGACTCCCTTCAGGAGCCTAGAACGTCTGTCTTTAGTTGGCTTTAGATTTGTCTCCAGAACGCCTACAGAGGCTTGTTTCTGCTACATCAATCAAAGTAGCCCAACATGCTTGGCCAACAGATAGCGCTGGGCTCTCTGGAAAGAAAACCTATTTGAAGGATTCTGTTACCTTGGTTTTGGGGTTTTTTTTTTTTTTTTTTTTTTTTGGTCTTTTTTGTTATTTTGTCTTTTTTTCCCCCCCAGAGCTGAGGACCGAACCCAGGGCCTTGCGCTTGCTAGGCAAGCGCTCTACCACTGAGCTAAATCCCCAACCCCTATTTGAAGGATTCCAAAGTGTCTGTACATCAAGTTTCTTGAAGCCAGAGGTTGGGGGTGGGGTGGAATAAGGGGGGGGAGGGGAAAGTACCTCCAGCACTTCAGAAACCCCCAATGGCATGTTCATGTCGCATAGAATGAAAACGCCATATTTATTTCCAAGGGGACTGGTTGTAAAATTCACTTCAACCATCTTCTCGTTCTTCTTACAAGCAGTGATGTTTGGGTCCCACAGGCTTCCTACAAGTTGAGAGAGAACCACATGGGTGACCCGATAACCCCTCCCTTATCTGAGTCCCCAGGGGCGCTTTACAGACGCAAATCTCAATCCTTAGGCACACACCTAAGAGACTAAGAGACGGGGACTCAACTATAGTATATCTTCCAACACTGTTCCCGGGATCACAAAGTACCTGATGTCCAAGAAAGTTTAGAGACACACACACACACACCCCACCCGCCAGATACCATTACTTTGCTAGAAATGGCTTCCTTGAGCTGGGAGTGGTAGGTACAGACCACAGTCTATGATACAATTCAATGCTCACCCTACATTTCGAGGTAAGAGAGCAAGGACCGCTGTTTTCTCCTTTCTCAGGTGGGAGGAGGGGCCTCAGTTTAGGTATGCTCTAAAATATGGAGTCAGTGAACTGAGGCTCGGAACTTAGAGGCACAAAGACAGGCTGCCAGTTGTACTGGATATAAAGGAAGGAAGGAAATATCACACAGCTTACAGGAATCCCCGGCAGATCAACGATCAGAAAGTCTGTTGCCTCACTCATGTGACTTGCAAATAAGACTGGGCAAATTTCCAGGAACATGTATATATAATAGCACAGGTTAGCTTCCCTGCTGATGGGAATGGTTCGGCCCCTGGCTGGGAGCTGGTTCTAGGAGTGAATTGGAGGACTCATCCTAGGTCCTGGACCTCACACCCTTAGAGTGGCAAAATTCTTTTAGAGTGATCTCTTGGTGGGAGGAATGGTCACCCCATCCCCACCGCCAGCCCCACCCCACCCCCGCAATGCCAGTATCACTAACCTCAGTAGCATCACAAGACTCTACTGCTTGGAAATTTATACTCCCCCTTAGAAGTTGGGATGAGGGACTGACTATCCGAAAGCAGCTCCCTCACAATTGAGGGGCTTCTAAGAGTCTAGACCATAGAGGAGGTAGGCTTTCAAGAAGGCCTCCAGGGCCTTACTTGGACAAACACTGACCCTGTTTTTTAAATCCAAACAGAAGGTACCCAGAGCCCCCACTGACCACAGGTCAGTTGTAATAAGCAGGTGTAAAGGCTAGTGGGACTCTCGTCCAATCACAAAACAGCTTTCTATGGGCACTGCTGTTAAGTGGAACTTGGGATAAAGTGTTAGTTTAGGCAAGGGGCAGGGGTAGTTTCCTGTTGCTGTTGCTGTGCTATGTAAACCTAAGAGTCTGTCCCAGTCTGGACAGCTGCTTAGCCCAAAGCAGCTCCTTCACTGAGTGGCTTGGACAGAGAACTTCCATCTCTACATCTCAGTTCTTTATCTGTCTGAGACTGGATGGAACTTCATGGGTCCCAGTTAGGAGTACCTCCAAATAACAAGAACAAAATGCTACTTACCCGCCTCAATGCACTGCTTTTTATATTTCATTACATGGTCTAGGCAGCCTGGGAATTTGAATGAAAGTTGTTCCATTTGAGTAAAAGGTATCTCTATTATAACCCCTTGCCCAGTACACACACACACACACACACACACACACACACACACACACACACACCCCACATACACTCTCTTCAGATACAAGAGAGATGGCAGATCTGAACAGGACACAACCATTTTACAGTTAAACAGAAATTCATCCACCCGTGGAAGCTGTAAGTAGTCTCACTTAAGTACAGCCTTTATCAAATCGGTCACCAACAAGTGACTTGGAAACCAAAGAGGAGCAGCTAATAATACATGTAGTTTCTGCCTCTTCCAGACATGAGGCTCTAGGTGGTGGGTACCCAGATGCCTAGTAGACATGATCCTCACCAACAATGTCACATACTACATCCAGATAGGACATAGTGAGGAAGGCCCAATGCCTCCTGTGGGATTCATACCCAAATCTCAGATCCCTGGCCTACATATGAAACAAACATCAGGCAAACTCAGATTGGAGACAATCTATATGATGTTTGATGAGGTCATGAAAACTAATGGCCAGAGAAGGTTGAGGTTGCGGCATAAGGGGCTGAATGCCTCTGGAACAGGAAGAAAATGTAATGGATAAGCAGCTGAAATCCCCAAAGCCTGGTGTTTGGTTGATAGAAATATGCCGATGTTATCTTCCTAGTTTTCATAAGTGTACCCTGAAAACAGGATGCTGACGACCAGAGGAACTGGGAGCTACAGGGAATTTTGTCTACTTTTACAGCTTTTCAAAAACCATCCCCAAATAAAACTCACTTTAAAAAATCCCAGTGAGCTTTGGTGTCATCAGCTGGAAAGTACTATGGAGTAAATGGTGTGGCACCAAAGCTACCCTGGATGGCTTGAGGAGCAGAGTCAGAGCATCACCATTGCCGTGTGTACAGCCCAGGGCAAGTGCTTGGAGAGATGATGAATTCTGCATCCTGCCTGGCGCCCAGGAACATGCCTTCCCCACACTTACCTGACTTAACCCTCTCCACCCTGAGTGAGGGGTGGTTAGTACTATGTCCGCAGATGGGGAAACCTACAGCTTTGGAGGCTTCCCAAGACTCTCTGCACCAACCCACATGCCATAACACAGGCGAGATAGTGAGACGGACGGAATAGGCCAAGAGGTGGGGCAGTTTACCTGGAGAGGTGAAGTTCGCAGACAGGGAAGGGCTGTCTTCGTTCATATTAGCATTGGGGATGTTATGGGCCCCGATGAAGTAGAGTGTGCTCGGCTCCACAGCAAAGCCTGCATAGGAGAAGGTCCACTGCAAAGCAAGACAGGACAGTTCTGCAGTGCAAGAGCGGGGCTCTGGACGGCTGTTCTCACTTGTGAATGTTTCACATTCATGGTGAGGGTGTGCATGTGTGTGTGTATGTGTGTGTATACACTAATGGAGGATCATGCACAGTGTATGTGTGTGTGAACACTAGTGGGGGATCATGCCACAGTGTGTGTGTGTGTGTGTGTGTGTGTGTATACACTAGTGCTACAGTGTGTGTGTGTGTGTGTGTGTGTGTGTGTGTGTGTGTGTGTACATTAGTTGGGGATCATGTCACAGTGTGTGTGTGTGTGTGTGTGTGTGTGTGTGTGTGTGTGAACACTAGTGGGGGATCATGCCACAGTGTGTGTGTGTGTATGCTAATGAAGAATCATGCACAGTTCATGTGTGTGCATGTGTATACACTAGTGGGGGATCATGCACTCTGTGTGTGTGTGTGTGTGTGTGTGTGTGTGTGTGTGTGTATGTGTACACTCGTGGGGGTACACTGTGTGTGTAGGTCAGGACAACTTGGAGGACTTGTTCTCTCTACCATGTGTGTCCTATGGACTAAATTCAGCCCCCTTTTCACTTGCCATTAATCTCTATGTTCCAGTTGAAACAGGTCTCTGGTCAATGTCTATGTAGGGAATGGGCCCAGCCCAGTTTGCTGATATAACTCAGAATCGGAGAGGAGTGGCATTTTAGAGCTAGAATATAATTTAAGTCAGCTCCCCTCACTTTGTGGGACCATGAGTCTCAAAGATGCTGACATCCCCAGGCAGACTAATGGCGTTTAAACCCAGGCAGGCATCTTGCTCTGCATCATCAGGCTTTTCTGAGGCCCGCTATTCATGATTCTCAAGCAAAGGGCCCATCTGTCAACCACAGCCATGGGCCTGCAAGCACTTACTTTGCCACCGGAAGGTCTGGTCTGACTTCGGAAGGCCTCTGTGTAATTGCACCTCACACAGCTGTACGACTGCATGTTGCTTATGCCAGTCACACAGATCTTGGTGGCCTTCAACAAGCGGATGCTGGCTGCAGAGACAGGGATGTGGGAAGGTGTTTTATTAGCACTTATGTGGCTCAGATAGTACTCTATCCTTTAAATGCTTCATCTCAGCTGGTGGGTACTGTGGCATCCAATGTGCAGATGGGGTGAATGAGACTTTGGGAGTCTTGGGGGGGCGGGTACTCTGCCTGAGCTTTCACAGCTCAGCAGCAGCAGATGCAAACCCAAATTCCAAAGCCTAGGAGCTCTACTCCTTCTAGGTTGGCCTGAGTTGTACAAAGTGCCCGTGGTTAGAGATGCCATCGGCCCCATTCTAGGTCTCTTGAGGGTGACAGATTGCTTGAGGGTCTGTCCATATCCTAAGGTTGTCTTTCTGTGCATACATATGGGTACTTCCATTGAGTGTGTCTAAGAATGGAATTAATGGGTCCTATACACTGCATATTTCTAGTTTAGAAGATGCTTCGGGCTTTAGCTTTGACTCCTTTTTTTTTTTCTAAAAAAAAAAAAAAAAAAAAACCTGCCCAAACATCAGTCCCAGACTGTGCCTATTTTGACTGCCCTATGCCCATGCAGACCATTCTTTGTTGTGGGTCTGTTTCTCTATCTCTATCCCTACCTTTCCAAGTTCCCTTTAAAGTGCCTAACAACATCGACCAAAGACCTGCTTGGTGTGGGGCCAAAGCCTATTGTAGCATCTCACAGGAGTCTTTTGGGGTCCTGCCCTGGTCCCTCTGGCCCACCCCACTCACATAGAGCGCAACTCCCTTTGAGGCATCCCTTCACATTGCTTGTGGCTGCCTTTCTTACTACTCTGAAAAATGTACTGATGAAGACTGTCATTGACTCATTTCCCCAGGTAAATGGATCCTTCTCCTGGCTCTTCTCACCATCACCGTTAAGTTTTTTGAGACAAGGTCTCACCCTGTAGCCCACTGTCCTGGAACCCAGTATATGCCCCAGGCTGGTCTCAAACTTGCCACAATCTCCCTGTTAAAGTCTCCCATGGGCTGGGTAAATGGACTCTTGACTAAACCAAGTTTAACGTGGGAAAATGGAAACCACAAGCAAAGGCATTAGGGTCCTAGCATTGACTTGGCTAAGGATTTGATTAATTATGCTTTCTGCATAATCTGGAGGAAATACCAGGACTTCCATGATGCTGTTTGAGGAGTGGGAAATTAGCCCAAGCCAGAGCTTTTCCTAAACTAGGGGAACCATCTCTTCAGTGAAGTCTAACTGCAGAATGACACTGCTCACCAGGAGCTTGGCACATTTTTACAACCAGCAGATGCCACAAACTGCCCAACCCCGGGTGCTGCCTGGGCTTCCTTCCTTTCAATCACTTCCGAGCCAGAGTAGCCCCCAAACCCCCATCCTGGCTTTGAACCTCTAGCTCAGTTTTGTTCTTCCATGTGCTACTGTAGGCATGATCACTGACACAACTGTATAGCTCTTTGGAGTCTGGCAGCTTGTATTTGTGACATCCATATTGCTACATACACAAAGAGAATTCTCATTGTTGAGTTGCAAAGTTTCCACTTTGTGGTTCTTTTAGGCTCTTGGTCATCTGGATGGTGTTATGAACAGTGTTACTGTACACATCCTAGGGTGTGTCTTTGCTTTGTATGCCTATGTATGTCTGTGGTACGTGCCTAGGAGTGGAATTAATGGGTCCTATATCCTTCACATTTCTGGTTTAGTAGATACTTTGATGCAAACTTACCATCTGCCCGGAGTATCCAGCTTATGTTCATCAAAATTGAAAAATCCTCTGGTGCAACCCTTGTTTTAACAAGTTCCACTTGGAGGTCCCTCAAGTCTCCTGGGGTGAGTGTGTGTTGGACCATCCACTCTGGAGATGGCCCTGGGGAAAGGCAGGAAGACTTCCTATGACACTCCTATTTCAGGCCCAGTCAGAAGTTATTTCCTCCAAGTGATCTGTCCTGTTCCATCACAACTCACTTCTGCTAAGGAAAGCCAAACTTCTTCTGGATGCTGGCTGATTTATACATCTGAATAAATTCTCTCCATTTCATGGTCCCAAACTATACAGCACTTGGGGTGTTTCAGGTGTGCGCGCATGCGTGTTTAGTTTGACACGTTCACTAACGTCAGTCCTGACTTCTCCATGCCTCAGGCCTGGACTCAGACAGCTAGCCCACATCACAACCACTTTCTCAACTCTTCACCTTTGCTGCCATCCACCTCCCCGTCCTGTTCACTCTCACCATTCACATTTCTTGGGCAAAACCCATTCATTCTTCAAAGGCTACCATGTCAGGTACCTATGTGTAAAACATTTGCTTCCTAGTCCCAACAATAAATGGTATAGCCCCTACCACCACAATGGATGTCCCTCTCTGGAGTGGCAGCCACTGCTTCCCACTTAGCACGGTGAGTTCCACTCTGCCTGTGAGCTAATTCACCAGGAGGAGCCCAGCCCATCTCAAACACACCCTTACTCCCCAAACTCTGCCTTGAAAACCTCACTCACGTTTGCTAACAAGGCAATGCATCACCAAGTGCCTGGTCTACCAAGACCCGCTGCCTGATTCAGACCTTCTTAATGTCCAACTGTGCTTCCAAATATCCATTCTCTAATGCACCTACCAGTCTCAGGGCCACATTGAATAGTCTGCGGGAAAGAGAGAAACCAAATGTCATGTTGAAGCCGGCAAACCACAATGCTCTTTTTACCAAATTAGGCAAAACACCATCTTTTTCCTTAGATGCATGCACAAGTGACAAGTTTTCAACGAAAAGATGAGCTGGGAGCTGGAGAGATGGCTCAACAGTTAACGCAGCACACTGTTCTTGCAGAGGACCTGTGTTCAGGTCCCAGCTCCCACATCAGACAACTCACATCTGCCTATAACTCCAGCTCTAGAACTCAACGCCTCTGGTTCCTGAGGACATGTTCACAGGCATTCACACTCACGTACGTACGTACGTACACACACACACACACACACACACACACACACACACACCTTCCCTGCCTCAGATTACTGATGGCCATTTTGGGGTACTTTAACTATCTACTGTGTTAACTATCTGCTGGTTTTCAGGACAGTGTAATATGTATTGATTTCTCCAAGTGAACCTTTGGCTGTGCAGAGAGGAAAGCAGGTAGTAGTGGAGCAGCCCGACGTACCTTCCCCAGGCTCATGTCATACCTCTGTTTTGATCTAAGACTCAGCTGAGCTACTGAGAAAACAGGGGGCAATTGTGATTTCATCACATCTTTCTAAAACAGCTTTCAAAAAGTAAAACTCCTCAATGTCTGAGAAAGGCCAGTACTCAATAAACCCTTTGAAGTTTACACAAGGAAAATAATGAATAGTATGGTTCGGGAATAGTATAGTGAGCCTCAAACGTTTATTTCAGTCGTTATCGATCTTCAGTGGCAAGATCCAATGTGACAGACCCAGAGGACTCCAGGATCCCAGCTTCCTCATTTCCAAAGACCTCGTGACGGCAGAAAACAAAGGTTTTGGTGGGGCAAATTTGGTTTGGGTGAAGTCATCCATGGTCCTTTGCTTTATGGCGTTCTTTTTAAACAAATGAGCCATCCACTAGGAACTAAGATCCAGTTGAATGGTAATAAGAGGAGACACAGGGAAAAGCCAAGCAACAGCGTGACCATTCACAAAGCCCATTCGGTTGTCCTCACAGCAAATGCCCCCAGGACAGTTTTCTGTTGTATAGAGAGGGCAAGGACAGTAGCTGATGGCTTCAGTACACCATATACTAGCTTTGGCTTTCCCAGCAATCAAGGAAAAGCAAGCAAGCAGACAGGTACAGTGTGTTCTGACGACCCAAGAGGTGGGTCCGCACAGGTGTGACGGAAACTGTCTAGTCACCATGAACCAGGAGGTGAGGCATGGCACCCGTGTGAGTCCACCATTTTATTAAGGAGAATACTAAGACTCGATGAGCCCAAATGTCCAGGGTGGCATCTGTGACAGATATAAATCTCATGTCTCCAGCAAGATAAATTCCAGGCTAGGAATAGAGGGATGATGAAAGTGCAAGGTAACCATTATGGTTACCTCAGGTGTGCAAATCTGGCCCCTTCCAGAGGGTGGTCCATGGACAATTTCCTAGAAACATGAGCTGTCGGGGCTTACGCCTGTCAGGGTTCTGGTAAAAGGATGGGAAACCAAGAAAAAGGGCGCTCACATGGGGACGGGGATGCTTACCGGCTCTCGGGGCACGGTGCTCCCGCACACTGCAGCCAGGCTCAGCAACACCAGCAACATGACCCAGCCACCGCCCACCACCACGCGGAGCTGGGGCGGGCGGTTCAGGGTCCTCTTATCCAGGTGCCCGCCCGCGGCAGCTCTCTCCGGGCTCCGCCTCCTACAGTGCCGCCCTGCCCTAGCTGGGGCGGGCGCTGGCCGGGTCCCAGGACCGTAAAGTGGCGGCCCTGTCGCCCGCGGGGTTCGCGGGGGTGGGCGGGGTGCGAATGACTCGGGCCGGGGAGTCCGGAACTCTGGCAGCCGGGGCGACGCGCGTCGAGCCCCGCGCACAGGTGTGTGCCGCAAGCTAGGTGGGGCGACCGCACCCACGCCCCGAGACCGACCTAGCAGCCCGGCCCTTCCCGAGGAGAGCACGCGACGCTCCAGGCCGCCAGTTAAAGCGCAGAGGCCGAGGACGGCCACCGTCTTCTCTGTGCGCCCGGCTCCGGCTCTCCGCGGCCGATCGACCCTGCCCAGGTACGGAGCTGTCCCTGGTGAGTAGCAGGTCGGGAGGACCTGGAGCCTCCTTTACCCAAAAAGAGTCCCAGAAAGACAAGGGGGGAGGGACTCGAGGCACCGAAACCTCCTTGGCTTCTTTGGGGAAGCCTTTGACAGGAACTTACAGTTACAATGCAATATTGATAGGAATCTCTACCCCGGCGGCTCAGGCTTTCTGGTTAAGTGTATTTCTGTAGAATGAGGTCTGGCGGTTACATCTGGGGTCCCTAAGCTGGTGCCTCAGCACTGTGGGTTCAGAGCTGAAGTTCTGACATTTGGCAGGGCTGCTGCGTGAATGAAACTTTCCCCTGCTCTCCACCTCTCAGACCTTAATTCTGGGAAGGTGGCCCAGAGGCCATCCTTTGGAGATGAACTCGCTTAGGAGGGAACTAGTCCAGTATTATTTGGGATTAGACAAGGGCTGCAGAGCTTGGAATTCAGCTGCTTCAGCCCTTCATAGGTCAGTGACTGTTGCTATTACCAAACTTGTAGATAGTGGAATTGGAGGGAGCCCTAGGGCAGAAGTCCTGCTTGGCTTGTCCCTGTTGAGAGGTTGGACGGAGTCAAGCAGCTGTGATTGCCGAAGCCCTACTGGGATATAGACTCAGTTTACCTGTGAGACTCAGGTGAAGGCTCTGTTTCTGATCCACATGGAACAGGCCCAGTCCCCAGCCTCTGTGGGATTGCAAGGAATAGCTTCCTGAGAGACTTGTTCTGATTCCTGACCAAGGAGGTTCACAGAAGGGAGGTGTAGCCTCACCCCACCCACCCCACCCATCCCCGCCCTGGAACTGAACCACCCTGGGGCCCTTCCTCCACCTTTGTGAGCTGCTTGGGCCCAGTGGTCCCTGGGAACATTTCTAGCTCTCAGGGTGGCCTTACTGAACAGTAAACACTTGCTGGCTGCCAGGGTGCAAAGGTGAACCGCTGAGGCATGCTCTTGGTCTAAAGAGGAGTGCAGCGAGAGGAGCAGGTCAAGGCCAAAGCGCCTGGCCCTGACGCAGAAGCAAAGTGGAGGTGGCCGTGTTTTCCAGTCTCAGTCCGAGAACTTTGTCTTCTGGGGCTGCGGAACCGGACCGATGTTTCGGTGGCAGGCAGTCTTCAGTGTTGGAAAACCTGTGTGTCTGCATAGCGAGTTGGAGAACACACCCTCTCAGACGAGCAAGCCACAGCTAACTGCCAACATGTGTTCATTCAGTGAGTAGCTGAGCGCCAACACCTGGCCAGGCTTGGAGCCGGCCTGGCAGAACATGCCCTGCTGTAGTAAGCTCAGGGCAAAGGTCAAGGGCTTTGGGACAGCCGGGATAGAAAGGTCAGGCCCAGGGATTGGTCTGTGAGTCAGCCAATTTCTTGGCCCTTGAGGGGTAAAGGTGGGTGGGAGGCATTTCATCTAGCGTAAGAACTCCTGGTGTCACATGAACACCGAAACCCCAGAGTGGCCTTTCCTGACTTTGGCAAGAGAAGGTAGGGCAAACGTGAGGAAATGGCTTGTGGTGGGTATAGGATAGTTTTGTTTTGAGAAAGGGCTCAGGCAGAGGAGAATCTGGTGGCAGAGGAGAGAGGAAGAGTGGGTGAGGTGATGGTAGGAAGGGGGTTGTGGATATGGGAGAATGCCCAGGCAAGAGTGCCAGACAGCCTCCTGACACAGGGGGAGAAGTTTCCCCCACCAGTGATGACGGGGTTCGGGATGACACTACCCTGACTCTGGAACAGGAGTGTGTACCTGTGGCCTGTGGTCAGGACATCAGAGTGGGCAGTGAAAGGAAATATAAACGGTCCTGCAGTCAGAGATGGGGTCACACCTGGGCCAAGAGGATGTACCTGTCTATCTTTGGGAATTTCTATCCTGTCTCAGGCCACAAGTACTCACCCCACCCTCCAATGATCCTTGTGAACATGCAGCCTCTAAGGTGATCTGCTGGGAAGGTCCCGCTTGCTTAGATGCCTCCTAGCCCTGAGAGTGCTTAGCTGCTTCTCCTGGGTGTATGGCAAGCTCTTGATCTCCTCAGAGGTTTCCTTTCCTGAACAATTAAGTGAGTGAGCCACCAGGAGTGTGAAGAGCTGACTGGAATCCGAAGGAGGCAATCTTGGGAGATTCTCCACATGTCTTCGGTCATGGATTCAGTCTCTAAGTCTATGAGAGCCACCTGGCACAAGACATCTTCCTGTCCAGGGGCCCGGTGGGTGTTCCTTAAATTCCAGAATAAATTAGCACACGCCTTCCTCCAAGGCCATGCCTAATTCTGCACGCCCAGGAAGATTGCTTTGGAATTCCGCCATCATGTAGGGGAAGCTCACAGTCTGGTCCAGAGCCTGGAAGACTTCTTTGTCTGTCACCTGGATTTCGAACAGGCTCTGTGATGCTACTGCAGCTGAGACTCCCATGATTCACTTGCTATCTCTCGGCCATGACCAAAGCTCTTGGTCTCTTGCTACCTCAGTTTCCCCATCCACCTATGACATGGAACTCTGTCACTCTAGCAGACCCAGCAAGGAACTCAGAAGAAACCAGAGTCAGGAAAGCAAGTTGAAGGGTTTAAATTCACTGCATGGATGTAGAGCAGGGGACATAAGACAATTACATTTTTAAATCTGATATCTCCATGTTCCCAAGTGGGGAAATTCCCCTGGACTCATAACCTTTGTTAACTCTGCTGTAGCCATCCTGGAGAGAACAAAGCTCTGAGGGTTGTTGACATACTGAGTCTAGTTTCCACCCACACAGGTGGAATTTTCCACTTTGTTTTTTTTTGCAAATACTTATCAAGTCTCTGGGCGGTTAACAGTGGCTTCATTGTCTTGTGAAGGGGGAGCTGGTTCTAGTGAATACCGCCTGCCTGCCAGGGCTCTTTGGCCAGCCCCAGCTGGCACAGCAGTCACTGGAGCACCCTGGCCTCTGTTGCCACCCCTGCCCTCTGTTCCACTCCAGCTGTTTGAACTTGGACGTGGCTAATTTAATGCTAGCTTTGAGCCAGAGACCCTGAGGGCTTGCACTCCCTGATTTCCAGGATGGGCGTAGAACTCTGTATAGTCTCTGCCCCAGTAGGAGGGGCTGGCACAGAAGAACCCCAGACTCAGGCATGATTATAGTTCAGTGTTAATGCCACCCCAGCCAGTTCCTGGAGGTGAAGCCATGTCAGGGCATGACCTGTTTGTTCATGGCGGTGACCTCCGTCTCGTGGACACTTGTGTTGATTTCCATGTTTGTTATTATCACACTGGGGCTCTGAAGAACATACAGACCTCAGAAGAAATGGGTGTCCTTTTTCTGCACCAAGTCTCACTCTAGGCGGAGTCAGCCGCATAGGGATGCAAAGAAAGGCAGTTACTGTGTTGGAAGTAAGCGTGATGTGATGGGTATTGTTCACTGATAGCTGGATGAGCCTGTAGTTGATGTTATTATTGGTCATAGCTGTAGGCTCACATGCCGTGGAAGAGAAAATGGGATGCATCGATGAGATTAAGTAAGAAGTGGGGTAGAGTTCAGGACATGGACTGTGAACTGGGTGAAATTTCCCCAGACTTTGAGCTTTGTATTTTTAATTCTTTTAACTTTATCATTTTTTTATAAGTCTTATTGTACAGCACAGGTTGATTTCAAAATCATGATGCTCCTGTCTTAGCCTTTACTTCCTAAGTGCTGGGATTATAGGTATGTTCCTATGCTCAGCAATTTTTCCTTTTGCCCCCCATAAAAACAAGAAACTAAGACGTAGATAGCTGTTTCCATTTTAAAGATTTATTTATTTTTATTTTGCGTATATGAGGGTTTGCCTGCATTTATGTGTATGTATGTATGTATGCACTCATGCATGCCTGGTGCCCATGGAGGCCAGAAGAGAACATTGGGATCCCTTACAACTGGAGCTGCATGTGATTGTGAGCCACCATGTGGATGCAGGCAACTGAATCCAGGTCCTCTGCAAGAAGAGCAAATGCTCTGAACCACTGAGCCCCCTCTCCAGCCCCATTTCCATTATATAAACGAAGAGACAGTCCCAGAGAGGCTGTGTCCTGAGTGGGGTTGAGCTGTAACTACAGCTCAAGGGTCTTGACTTTCATTTCTCTCCTAAAGTCTGTGACTTGAACATGGACCCCCAATGTATAAGATGTACCTAAATGTGCGTTTATTTTATAAGTTGATAATTTGTGTTTTTATTTGGCATGATTTTTTTCCCTCCTCTGAAGGAGAACAATGACAGGAATGTATCCTAGAACCCGGGGCTGTGGGAGCTGGGCGATCTCTAACCTGATTTATTTCTGCAATTAGTGATAGCATAGCTTTCATTTTTTAAAGCTGTTCTCCTTGCTGTCATGGGACTTCCTGTGGTTAACTTTATTCAGAAGTTTAGAAGGGGGCAGGTATGGAAGTTGGGCATGATCACAGCTGTAAAGGGCCTTGAGCAGGGCAGGTACTATGGACCCACATTCTATTCTCACTGGGCTTGGAGGTGGCTTGGTGCTCCATGGCTGGAAGTATGCAGGTAAGCATGGGTTTCATACCACATAGGCTTTAAGGAACTATGGCTCTTAATGTAACTAGAGTTTTAGAGCAAAAA